GGGGGGGGGGGGTTACCCCGCCTTCCTCCCCCTGCAGGGACCAGGGCCGCTGGGGCCCAGAGATGCAGTTCGCCCACTACCGTTGCTGCCACCATTTGGCATTCCACAGGCGCAATTGGAAGCTGGTCATCACACCGATGCCATCACCAGACCGCGTCCGCCTCCAAAGGCACACAGAGGCGCAGCTCTTACAGGCAGGCAGGCCTAATGGCACCACGGCGAGCATGGCACTGCCTGCTGCGCATCATGTGCGCCCGGGCAGCTTGGCTGCCGCGGATCCCCAGGCCCCTGCTCCGGGGGCGGAACACCAACATGCTGGCCTATGTGGACCCCAGGGAGGCGGCCCCCCTTACGAGCGTGCCTGCATGCGGTGTGGCCACAGCACTCACCCACGGTACTCTATGTACTTGTAGATGCAACCCGCTATGAGCATGGCAAAGAGTGCGTAGTACCAGGAGCAGATGAACATCAGGGCCAGGCACAGGCTCATGCCCAGGAAGGACAGCGCCCTGGGGACACAGGCCTCACAGCACTTTGCCTCGCTCGCCCCGCCCCCACCCTCTCCAACCCGCATGCCTTGCCCTGCCCCTCCCACCTGCAGCCTCGCCCACCAATCGCAGGCCCGCCCCGCCCACCTGCAACCCCGCCCACCAATCGCAGGCCCTGCCCACACAGGGCCCCCAAAGTAGCATCTGAGTAGCTGCCTCAAACACATCACCATCAGCACATGATGAAAAAACCTGGTCACAACTATGTAACAGGGCACTTGGCGGGTGGGCCCTCCGCCAGCAAACCATTCTGGGGCACTGTTCAGCCACGTGGGCTCCGACGGGGCCCCAGTCCGCAGCCACCCCCTCCTACCCCAGTGTGCTCAGCACCCCTGTGCACCCAACACAGTGGTTCCCTGTGTCTTCTGGGACGACTGACACGCTGAGGCAGGGGCCCAGCAGCCCAAGGCTGCATGACTCAGACGCCTGGACATCCCAGGAGATGACCAGTGGCTTGGCTGGAGTTCATGCCCCAGAGAACAAGCAGGGACCCCTGGGCCACCCCACGTGCTTACCAGTGGTAGTACTTAAAACGTGGCCGCCAGTTGGGTGCGCGCAGCAGGGTCTGCACTGCGCAGGCCAGGTTCACAAACATGTAGCACATGAGGAAAAACCTGAGGGCATCAGGTACAGCATTGGGGGGCAGGCCCCAGGTCCCAGTACGCCGGGTCCCCTGCCCTCCACCTCCCAGGAAGCACCCTCCCTCTTGGCCACGTCACCATCCCACGGGCAACCGTGTCCCGTGTCCATCCCTGTGTCCCCTGGCAGGCCAACCCAGAGAGTGGGTGCCTCACGCCCCATCTCCTGCCGCACCCGTGGCCACTCACATGGAGAGGATGGGGGCCACGCTGTCCAGGGAGGCGATGAGGATGCCGGCCTCGCAGATGAGGGCTGTGAGCAGCAGGGCCCACGTGGGCTCCCCATTGGCCTTTCCGTGGCCAAACACCTGCAGAAGAAGGGCAGGGAGCTGGTGGCCGCAGCGCAGGGGCCTCAGGAGCACCCTGCATTCAGGGGAGGAGCCCACTGGGCAGGCCAACCCGGGGGCGTCTCAGAGATGCGGCACCAGCAGAACTGGGTAGCCTCACATGTCAGGATTGCCTCACCATGCCCGGGACACCCAGAACTCGTGGGGATAGATGAAGGCCCAGGTACCATTAGACCCCGGGCCTCCGCACAGAGTGCTGGCCGGGGATCACTGGCCGGGGGTCTCCTGGCATCCTGAGGCCAGCCCCAAGATGGAGGTGCAGGGTCCCTTCTCACACCTGCGGGGACATTCCTGGGTGGACCCCACAGTAAGGCCTGGGCCCTAAACCCGCAGCCACACAATGTGGCAGAACCTCCCGGAAGGCTGTGCCCAGCCTCTAGGGACACCACGCTGCCTGCTGCCCAGTGGTACAGAGGGATGACCACGTGAGGACACGGGAGAAGGTGGATGTCCACACGCCCAGGAGAGAGGTGCAGGAGGACCTGCCCTGCCAGCACCTGGACTCCAGACCAGCACCCCCAGGTTGGGAGGCAGTCAGGTCGTGTTTTCTGAGCAACCCTCTGTGGCTTGTGCTACAGTGGCCCCAGGACACTAATGCATCAATGGCCTCACCCCAAAAAGCCTCACCCACACTTGAGGAAGCAGGGGCCCTGGAACATCACATCCTGGCAGACAGATACTGCCCCACAGGTAGACACCCCTGGTCCTCCCAAACCTTTTGCAGAGCCCAGGCCAGCGAGGGACTGCCTGCACCCACACCCTGCACCCTCGGCCCCGTGACCACCTCAGGGCAGGGCTGCCAGGCTGAAGGTGGGGATCTTTAAAAGTAAGGAGCATGTTGTGGGGGCAGACCCTTGGGGACTCTCCCAGAGGGCACCCTGCTCTTGGGGGGCTGACAGCAGCCACCGCACTTACCTGCAAAAAGGGGACGATGCCATCTCTGGCAATGGCCTGCAGCAGGCGTGGAGCCCCTGTGAGGCTCTGCAGGCCAGCGCCGCAGGTTGAGAAGAAGGAGCCGATGACGATGACCCAGGGCGATGGCCAGGCCAGCATACCAATGACGAGCTTCCCCTGCAGGGCCTCCCCAAACCTGGGGCAGGCACGGGTGGCTTTCAGAGCATGAGCCCGAGATGTGAAACCTTCCCACGTTTTGAGAACGTAACTGGCCCCACAGCAGTGAGCAAACGAGTTCTGCCTCCTAAGGGCCCGTCCTCAGGAGCAGGGGGCACGGCCCAGCCCACGGTCCACACAGCCACTGCCCCTCCTGCCACAGCAGGGTTGCCAGCAACAATGGCTCAGTCACAGCCTCTCCATCAGGGACCAAGGGGGACCCCTGTGCCCAAGGGCTGCTGAACGCGCACCCACAGAGAGGACAGTGGTGGCAACGAGGTGGTGGGGTCTCCCAGGAGCCTGCACCTCCAGCTCATCAGGGTCTGAAGTTCCTCTGGGTCCCCAGCTCCACTCTGGAGGACTGGGGACATACTGGGACCAAATGGGGTCCCAAAGGGGCCATGGGCTTCCTGCTGCACAAAGTGTGAAGGCCTGGGGTGACCTCAACTTCAAAGCTAAAGTCTTCAAGAAAACCGACGCTGACCCCAGAAGTTTCTAGAAGGTGCAAAGGAAAACCAACATACTTATCTCGCAAGACCACGCCTTCAATGCAGGCCCCAAACAGCACAATGCAGGAGAGGTCTGCGGCTCAGGTCAAGGAAGTGGTAGGCGCGATGTGGGGGTAATGGGGGCCCAGACACCATGTCCTCCACCCACCTGCCCTGTGTGCCCAGCCATGTCCCGTGACCCCTGGGGCGCCTCCCTCACTGCCCCATCCTAGCTCCAGAGAACAGCCTCGGGCAGTCAGGATGCACAGGGCCTGCAGAGCAACCACCATGGGAATGAACTTCAGCGACAGAAGCCTTGGCTACCCCTCCTAAAACAGTGGCTCAGTGATGACCACGACCAGCCATGGGTGCACGGTCAAGCTACGTGTGTGCAGATAACTGCTGCACATGCTTTACACACAGTGCCGTGCTCCGTGACTGACCTCGAAGGTGGGAGTCGTGTCCCCACCTCTTGTTATCTTTCACAAGACCATCACCAGCCCAGCTCCCTTGGAGGGGCTTGCACTGTGGCCAGAGCTCACCTCTGTCGGCCATGAGCTGAGAAGGGTTGAGGGGGCCCGGCCCTTCCCCAGTGCCCTTGCCACCTGACGCCTCTGCCCCAAGGATACAAATAAAAGACGTGGTCACGATGGCCATGATGGTCCCTGTGGGGATTGATTTCTGGGCATCCTTGAGGTCCCCAGACCGGTTTGAGCCGGCCATGATACCTACGGAGGCAGACGTGTTAACGTGTAAACCTGGAAACACCGCAGCTGCTGGTCAAGGCCCATCTGAGGCGGCATCTGCACACAGGGCCTGCTGGCCTGGACCACACCGAGCCATGCTGGAAAGGTGTGATGAGAAGCGCTAGCCAACGCCTGCCTGCTCTGCCGCTGGGGCCCCAGGCAGAGCTAAGGTACAGCATGGAGAGGCAGTGAGCAGCCCCTCGCGGGCTGGCCTTCTGGGCACATGCAGGCTCCAAGCGGGGACCAGGAGCTGACCTGGCAAGGACCAAGGGACCAACACGCTAGCAGCCACAGGCCGTGGGGTCAGCCAGCACAGCCAGGTGGGGGCTGGGGCTCAGGTGTGCCAGACAAGCTGAAGTGCAGGCATGCATGCACATGTGGGGCAGGGGGCACTGGTGTGCACAAAGGCATGGGGTGCTGGTGTGCCCCGTGGGCAGTCCCAGAAGGTTGGCTGACTCCCTGTAAGGACAGGCCCTGTCCCCACTCCGGACCGCCACAGCTGCAGAGCTCCCTCACAGCCCATGACTTCCCGGGCCCCACACGCAGGAGATGGGGGCAGAGACCCGTAGGACGGGTTCTCAAAAGTGGGAAAGGAAAGGGGGCCCGGGGTCAGGGGCAGTGCAGACAGCCCCACCGGGAACGCAGCCTCACCAGTCACGGAGGGGAAGTAGATGCCGACCAGCATGGTGAAGTAGGTCATGATGTCGGTGAGCACATAGGGCAGCCCACTGGCTCTGCTGTCGCCCGGCACGGGTGCTGAGGGCACGCCCCCCTTCTCCACAAATGCCCCCTTGTCCGCATAGGCACTCCACAGGTTATCTGTGGAGACAGGCCGCGCGACAGGACTCGAACCTGCTGCCAGGGCCCTGCCATTGAGGTGGCCCAGCAGATGTGGTGGGTGACGAATGGTTCATGTGGTTCGTGTGCCCCCATGGCTGCAGCCTCAGCTGAAGACAGGGGCGACTTGCTCAGAGGAACTTGCCTGAGGGAACCTGAGCCATCGGGGAGCTGCGGCCACCGGTACACATGAGGCCCAACACAGAGGACCCCCCGAGGCAGCGAGGGTCCCCACCCCACTGCACAACAAACCCAGGGCGGATCCCAGCCTGGGCCTCCCTCTGCTGCCTGCAGGCCCTCCCTGCCTGGACCCCGACCCAGACCCACACCCCCACACCTGGGACCCACCCGTGCCCTTCAGGACAGGGCGCCCTGTGCTGCAGCCACAACTCATTCCAGTTCTCAGCTGGAGGCGGTCAGTGCCTTGCTGCCCACCCACCCCACCTCAGCATAGTACCAACCCACCACAGGCAGGCACTGGGACCCAGCTTCACGCTCAGGGGCACGGCTCCCCTCCACCGAGAGCTCAGGCCTCTCCTGGGCCGGGGGTGGGGGAGCCGGCCCAATTCCTCATCACAGAGGAAGGCAAGACCACTTCCCTGGTAACAGGCTACATCCCCGTGCTGGCTCCTGTGGTGGCCTGAGCCTGAACCCGCTGGCCTCCACCAAGGGCCCGCAGCAAACCGCGGCTGGGATTGGCCAGGGGCCCCTGCAGGGCAGCAGCAGGGACTCTGGGATGAGCCTGCCAGCCAAGAACAGCAGGGCACTCACCCAGCAGGACGCCACTGGCCACACCAGGAATGCCCTGGATCTCTGTGACATTGTTCTGAGCAAAGTACTCGTCACAGGTGGCGCCAGGCAAGGAGCTGTTGCAGAAGAGGACCCAGAGCGTGGTGGTCACCGTGCCATTGCCGGTATTGTAGACTTTGGCACAGACGTTGAAGCTGCGTCTTGACAGTGTGCGATTCCCCAGCAGGCAGACCCTGGGGAAGGCAGAGGGTGAGATGTCATGCCGCCCTGCCTGAAATGACTTCTGCTTTTCTTGCACAGCCAGAGGGAAGTTTCCAGGGTCCCCGCAGCTGCTGATGCTCCCTTCAGTGACAGGACATTGGCATAAGCTGCTAGGTCTCAGTGTCCCCACAAGACCTGGCCCAACACCATGCTCCCTAATCCCAGGCTCTTAGACGGCTGGCGCTGAGGGATACCATCCCAGGGTCTGACGCAGGAAGCAGGGATGTCCCCCTGTGGGCAGCTTGCTCCACATGGAGACAACAATGCACAGGATTTTGGGGGGCTCGGCATCAGCCGCCCATCCAGCAGCTGGCTGCACCTCTGCTCACAGGCCCTGTGACCCTGGGCCGCCTCCTCCCATCTCAGCATCCTCACTGAGGCCCAGGGACAAACCTGCACAGGGGCTTCCGTGCACTCCAGGGAGCCAGGACACAGGGTCTGTGCACTCCAGGGAGCTGGGACACGGGGTCCGTGCACTCCGGGGAGTCGGGACATGGGGTCTGTGCACTCCGGGGAGCTGGGACACAGGAGCTGCTAAGGCTGGGCCGCACTCGGGAGCCTGTCTGCCTGACTGTCCTCCAGGCCATGGGCTACCCCCTGTGCCCCTGGGCCTCCACTAAACCCTCTATGCTTACAGAGGGCACAGCTATAGGAGCATCCTGACCTGCTCAGTCTGGAGCCCAGCGAGAGATGGGAAGGCCGTGGGGCACAGGCCGCCACACTAGGCCTGACCAGTGTGGTCAGATGTGGGCCAGGCTCTGGGAGGAAGTGCTGCATCTCTGCTGGCCTGGCACTGGGCAGAGGACCTAGGATGCCCCGGGGTGGGACCCAGGACTCACGGGATGTCCGGAGGGCCAAAGGCAGTCTTGATGACACCAGCGTAGATGGCGAGGATGGACAGCACCACACAGGCCAGGAACACCAGGGCCAGCTTGTTGACATACTTGACGCCCACGAAGACCACCACGGCCATTAGGGCCAGTGCGCATGTCCCGTACACGCGCATGTTGTGCAGCATGGCTGCGTCCTCGCTGCCGGCCATTTCAGCCTGGACGACAGCCGCGCCAGGGGAGATGTAAGTCTGCGGGGGTGGAACCAGGTCAACAGGGCCACCCGCCCTGCCTGGAAGAGGACCCACAGCGCGGAGGGACAGCAACTCTCTCGAGAAGAAACTCGAGACCCCACAGGGAGGCAGTGTCAGACACAGGATGAGCCGGTTTGGAGAATCGATGGGAAGAGCGGGGCTTCTGATAACAGGGATGTGATTCCAGCTCAGCCAGTCCGAGCCATCCCCCGAGAGCTGCGGGGGGCTGGCACCCAGTCCAGCCACACTCAGCGGGGACTCATGCCTCCTGCTGAGGCTTGGGGGACCCGTGGCCAGGGCCTTCACTGCCTGAGACACAGTGGGACCGGGTGTGGGCCCTGAGAAGCGGGGATGTCAGCCTGCCCACCATTGGGCATTTCCAGCAGCCACATCCATGGCACCAAAGCAGGTGAACATGATGGAAGGTGAGGTACCAGCGGACTCCCCGAGACAGCCTGACCTCTGAGAGGCCTGGGCAAACCGGGAGAGCACTTCTTAACACATATAAAAGATTGAGCAAATACTTCATGTTTCAGGGCAAACCTTGTGCATTTGGGGAAAACCTTGTGTGGAGGGACCTGGCACAGGTACCAGCTGACAGGGAACAGCCGAGGAGAGGCTGCTTGGAGGTCAGTGGGCCCTCTGGGCCATGTCCCATTCTCCAGGAAACCATGTGCATGCACCCCATGCAGGATGGGCCTGCTGATCTGGAAAGCTGCGAGGTCACATGCTGTGGCTGACCGACATGTGTGTAGATAGAGCAAGAAACAACAGGAGGGCCAGAGTCTTCGCTGGGGGGCTCCCTCCCAGCCAGCCCAGCCTCCTCAAACCATCCAGACCAGGAAGGCCAGGGCCACACGGACAATCGTGGGCTCACACCTGTGGCCTGTCACACACGAACACCTGAGGGTCAACCCAAAAGGCAGCGAGAGGGACGCCAGGTCATGCTGAGAGGACACTGTCCAGCAGCAATCACAGCCCAGCGCTGAGGAGGTGAACACGGCCCGCATGAGCTCCAGGAGGCAGGCACCTGGGCACTGGGCGAGCCCCTGGGAGGGGATCCCACAGGGTCTAGGACAGATGGGTGCCTTTTGGTGCCAGAACAAGTTGACCCTGGGCTGAGGGCCTGGGTACGGGAAACCAGCTCCAAAACAAACACTTACCAAAAAGATCTCAATGGTCCCCAAAATATACATGGCCCCTGCGAATGTCGTGCCCAGGTAGAAGCAGAGGCCCACGGCCCCCCCGAACTCAGGCCCCAGAGATCTTGATATCATGTAGTACGAGCCACCGGCTGCAGAGACACACATGAAGCAGCAGTTAGACATGCCCTGCACTGTGCGTGATGTACAACAGGCCCTGCACTGTGAGCACCCTACACCATGTGGGCCCTTCACTGCTGGCAACCTGCACCATGCGGGCCCTTCCCCAGGGGCACCCTGCCCCACGTGGGCCCTTCACTGTGAAGATGTGGTGGGTTTGGAAGCTGCAACCCAGCAAGATCGTGAAGAACCGTCCTGACGGAGGCCCAGAGCTGCTCCCCTAGGATCTCCTCATCCATACACTGGACGACCCAACATTGAGGTTCTTTTAACTTCTGCTCCCCAAAGCCTAAGAAACCTCAGGGTGCATCACACCCCAGTGTGGGTGAGGTCCACAGCCCCAAGGGCAGTCACCAGCCTGGCTGCCAGCTGAGATGATGGCATGACCCTGGGCCATCTGGAGAACTCTCTGGGCACAGCCCCTCTTCTGAAAAGGAAACTTAGCACCAATCTGCCTCTGGAATTGTCTTCCTGAGGGAGCCAAAAAGTTTGGGGGCCGCCTCCCAGCTGGCCATGAATTGGGAAGGGGTTCCCCAGGACACAGCACAGCAGAGCAGGGCTCAACCCCGTCTGGGTGGGCAGGCCCCACATGGAGGCCCCTCACCCTCTCCTTGGGCAGAGGGACAGCCCTCCCGTCTACACCTCCACCACCATGGAGCACGCGGTGCCCTGCTCAGGGGCGGCCAGCTTCTCAAGGACCTAGAGGCCAAGGCCGGCGGGGCCTCCTCATGCACACGTGGCTGCACATGTGTTGGGGGCAGGATGGTGTCTCTCCGCTCCTGAATCCAGGTCGCAAATAAACCAGAGGCCTCTGGCCTGCATCTTTTCTCATGAGAGATAAAGAACATGGCCTGAGGTGCAAACCGTGTACCCACCTTCCCTGCCCACCCATGTGCACAGTCCCCCAGGCAATGGAGCCGGTCAGCCTGCCACACAAGGGGGAGAAACAAGCCATAATCTGGGGGCTCAAGGCCAAAGTGAACCCCACTGGGAATGGCCCAGAAGGTCCTCCCGGAGTCCCAAGGCAGACACGTGTCCCCACTGTGTGCTTCACTCTAGTGTCAGAAACGACTCAGACTGAAGAGAGAATGCTGGTCTGTGGGGGCCTAAACTTCAGAGCCAAGGGGAAGCAACAGCTCAGAGCACCAGCCCCCAACCCCGAGGGCAGCCGCATGAGCTCGGCAGGAGCCCATCTCAGAGGCGTTTACGGTACGTTCCCACGTAGGGGACGTGTTCCTCAGTGGCCTGAGCGCCTGGGCAGAGGCTGGGGGATGAGTGCACGGCAGCCCCCAGCCTGGTTTTGCAAAAGCCCACTGTGTCCTTGGGGGGCCTTGGGGGAGGGTGACGGGCTCTCAGGTGTCTGTGTGCAGGCTGAGAGCTGGGGGCCATGTGAGCATCACAGCCAGAGGCGGGGTCTCCACTGACGGGGCTGTGGGAAGGGCCTAGCTGTCTTGGGGACCCTCTCCCACCCACCCCCGGGAGGTCTCCATCCGCAGGAACAATGATGGGAGGCCCCCTTCAGCCGGCCCCCAGGTGGGAAAAGGTGCACCTGCCCAGGGCCTTTGGGACAGGGCCCCACTTTCTGCCTCACCTGAGGCCACCCTGGGTGAAGGCCAATGCCACGGCCATCATTAGCACAAAGTGGTACGAGCTCCAGCCCACAGAGAACCGGCTCAGCCCGCCCTGGGGAAAGCGCCCATGCCCAGCCCTGAGCGGCACCCCTTACCTGGGACCACGCCGTTGGTTGCAATGGCGCTCATGGAGATGGCGGTCAGCATCGTCTACAAAGACACGTGACCCCTTCAGAAGGAGGGTGCCCCCAAGGGCCACCTGGTGACAGACAGGGTGCCCACCCACAGGCCAGCCGCCCACACCCCAGCTCCTGACCCGGGGGCTGTGCTCTTGGGCGCGGGAGCCCTATGGCAGGACAGCAGCCGGCCCTTCACTCCCACTTTCTCCCCCCACCGAGTACCTGCAGGTCTCCCGGAAAACACTCAATCAATGCCCCAGGCACACTGAAGGGCTGGCTTATGCCTGGAGCCCATCCAGCCCCGCAGGGTGCAGGGGGGCCCACCCAGGTGCCCTCTCTGGGGTGGGGGGTTCTAAGGCAGCTGCCTCTGGTCACCACCTGCTTGGAAGGGGCCATAGTGTGGCTGAGGAGCAGTCAGTTTATGACCTGAAGTCCCTCCGAGGGCCCTGGACCCTGGGGCCTCTGTAAGGATGACCCCTCTGCCCTTGGGCAGGTCTGCTTCTCGTAAGGAACTTCCAGGCACATCAGGCGGAGCAGGGACAGCATGTGGGGCTGCTCAGGTGGCCACGCCAGAGCCTTGAGGGCCACGGGTGGGGGCGTCACCCAGAGCAGACCAGGGGGTGAGGAGAGCTCAGGAGGGCCAAGGGGTGCTCAGGGGGCCGAGGGGGGCTGAAGGGAGCCGAAGGCACCAGGGGTCTCTCACTCCCGGCCCTGAGCTCCCTCAGAGAATATCTTCAGGTGACTCCCGGGCCCAGCGCAGCAGGGCCACCCTCTTGTACTGGGAACAGAGGGAGGCAGGAGAAGGGTGCCAAGGAGCTGAGCCAGACACAAGCTGGCACGAGAGAGGGCAATGCCGTGAGGCTGGGTCAGGGATGTGGGGGCTGGGCCAGGGGGCCACAGTGTGATGGACCCTGAGAGCAGCTAGACGCTTCCACGCGGACCCCTGGTCCTAAGACAGGCCCCTCTCAGGTGGTGACGGTGCCCACATTCCACCACCTGTGTGGCCCCCCCTGAGAACACTGCCTGGGACGGGTGCCAGGCAGCCTGGGGCCTCAGCACAGCACATCCCGGGGTCCCAGCTGTCCACATGGCAGGCCCACGCCCAGCTGCCACCTGGAGGGGAGGGCGCTGTGGTCACTCACACAGGTGCAGCACATAAACACGATGAGGAGGGACTCGAGGACGCCGGCTGCCCCCACGACCCACGTCAGGCGCAGGAAGAGGATCACGCCCAGGATGTTCTGCAGGCAGGGCAGGTAGACGCCGATGAAGGTGCCCATGCGTGGACTCTGCAAGACAGTACAGTGCGTCTGGGAGGCCAGCCATACGCCCAGCCCAGGGACAGCATGGGGCCAGGGGCAGGGCAAGGGGGAGCCGGCAAGGGACGCAGGACCTGGAGAAGGGCTGGCGCAGGCAGACCCCACAGGAGAACAGGTATAGGACACAAGGAACTTTCAGGGCAGAAATGGATGCCCAGGGATGCGTGCCGGGACAGAGTAGGGCTGCAGAGCCCCTGGAGTTCTCAGGCTCCACCCGGCAAGCGGGGAGCCAGGATCTCCAAGCCTGAGACAGACTAAGCTCCCGAGTTGAAACCACCCCGGGCAACCTGCTTTTAATGCCAGGCCTGGACACCAAGGGCCAGTGCCCCACCCCCACGCCAGGCCATCCCAACACCCATGTGTGTGTAAATAACCGAGGTGGCTGTGGATCCTGCACACAGTGCCCACGTCACATCTGGGACATCTCAAACGCAGATGAGAATGCAAACGTGCGGGGAGCAGGGCCAGGTCAGTGCCAGCTTCTGTCCCTGGGGTTGTTACGTGGGGTCACTGGCAGTGCCCTGAAGCTGCTTCCTCAGCTGTAGCCAGGAATACAGGCCCATGTGGACAATGCCTTCCCAGTCTCGCCTGATCCAGTGAGTCTGAAGCCAGCTCCCCACCCAGCGGCTAAGGTGCCCAAGCCACCTGGAAGGGCACACGGGGCCTCAATTCTCTCAAAAGGCAACTTTGAAGGTCAGCCCAACTGGATGTGGCCCAGGCAGCTGGAGGCACCAGGCACTGCAGACAGTGCCCCACCATAAAACCAGGCCCCATCTCTGGGACAAGTTCCTGTGCCCAGTCTGTGGAGGGGCCAAAGAGGGCAGGGGACCCATACTCAGTCCTAAGTGGGGCGCCGATTCAGCTCAGCCAAAACTCGCCTATCTGCTCACACAGCAGTTATATCTAGGGTCACAGGACAGCTGGTCCCCCCATGACTGACACCCACCTGCTCCCGTGTCCCTAGGGGACAGAGGCCCAGGTCCGGACCTGGCAGTGGGTCCCCACAGTGCAGACTGACCAGGTGGGCACTCGGGTTACATCTCAATAGCAAGGGGGGTCTGGGCTGTGCTTCTGTCTGCTGCCAGATAGGCAGCCTGGCAGGCTAGGGTGGTGAGTGGGGGTCTGTGGGGCTTCCAGCTGAGGCCCAGGGCAGATGCCAGGAAGCACTGGGACCTGAGCCTCCATGGGAAAGTGTCCTTTCCCTGGAACAGGCTGACGACTCCCCGGAACAGTTCCCAGCAGACAACTGCCTTCTGCACAAAGAAGGCCTGTGGGCCCCCTGCAGCCTGGAGCCAGAGCAGAGCCCAGGAACCCACAGGCCATGCCCGCATCACATGAAAAGCCCCAGTAATGAGCCTGAGAGTGACTCATCCAGAGCCAGGACTCGGACAGTGTCCTACAGCTGTGACCCCCACTGGTGCCACCCAGGACTCCATGGGGCTAGTGGGGGTCCTCACCAGGCTGTCCCAAAGAGGCCATGGCCTCACACCCCAGGTCCCCCCATCCCCCATCCAGTTCAATCCTGAACAAGGACATCCTCTCAAACACAGAGCCAATTCCTTGGTGTCCCGGAGGTGGGCACTGGTCCCGATTCCTCCACGAGAGGAAGGACACAGAAAGGGCCCCGGCTGGAGCCCAAGGGGCCAGACTGGACACGGGTGCTTGGGAGCAAGACACACCGTATGGATGTGGGACTCTGCACAGTGGCGGCAGTGCCAGCCTGTCAGGCAGGGCAGATGGCGGGGGAAGGGAGAGTGCAGGGACGCGGCCATCGGGACACCCGCTCCGCCACTGCCCACACACTGCGGGGGGGCGCTCAGCTGTCACGTCCAGCTGGCGGGAACCCCACAGACAAGGCCTGGCCCTGCGTGCCTAGGGCAGGAGCTCCGGCCCCACACCGCCGTGCTCCCTGGCCTGTGGGCCTGGCCCGCTCACCCTCCTCCCAGGAGTGTTTCCTGAGCCCCGAGTGAGAACCACCCTTCAGGTCAGCAAAGCTGCCCTGCCCGCGACCTGAGCCATCTGCACTCGCCACACGGGGAGGAGCTGAGACTCAGAAGGGTGGCGCTGCTGCCGAGGTTGGGGGGACAGAAGAGAGAGAAGGGTGGCCCCAGATTTCAGAGGTCAGGCCTGCACTTAGAGGGTGATTTTCAAAATTTTTGTTGTATCTTAGATCTTAAAGTAACACAGATGGAAGAAAACATACAAAACAGAGGAAGTGGGAGGAAACGAGAATCACCCAAAGGCTGCGAACAGAGAGGATGCGTCCGTGCACACGCGGGGTGCTCGCTCCTGGAGCCACGGCCCAGCCCAGGCATGGCGGGTGGTGGGGGGCACGGGCAGGGGCAGGGCCACCGCACACCTTGGCCTCGCGCCGCCGGCTCTCCTCGGCTTCCTCGTGCTCCACCACGCCCTGGCTCAGGTTGGTGTAATTGGCCAGCTTGTTGAGGAGGGAGGAGACCATGGGGTTGCTGTCCATCTCTTCCTGTTTGGGACCAAGACGTGGAATTAGTGACCCAGTCCCCCCAAGACACCCCAGGTGAATGGTCCAGTCGGCCTACTTCTGGGCTCTGCCTCAGCCTGAAGCCCTCAGAGGGGACATGGTGATTGGGAGCTGAAGTTGGGGATCAGGGGCCCCAGGCCCCAGCCCCTCCGAGGGGCCCCCAGGCCCTCACAGGAAGGTTCTGGCCACGGGGCCTCCTCCCAGACACTGTCCAGTCAGGCGGGCAGCCCTGCCCGGACTCTGTGCTTCCTCCGGGACTAGGGGGTCCATGGCCACGGCCTCTAACCTCGTCCTGCTGTCTGCAGAAGGCACCACTCACCTCAAAGAGCGCCATGTTCCTCCCTTCAAAGCCGCTCTCTGAGTCCCCGTCCACGCTGTGCATGAACGGGCTGCTCTCCCGAGGAACCCCATCACCTGTGGGGAGACGTTCTGGTCAGTTCCCGGGTGAGTGGACACCAGGGAGTCAGAGCCATGGGGCATCTGCTGTCCCCAAGAAAGGCCTCCCGGTGGAACACGGGCCCCATGGCCACGCTGCACAAGGCAGTGCAGAGGCCACACGGTCACAGTCCTCAGACCACAGACATGCACGCCGCCCATGGACGTCACTGTGCCCGGACCCCGAGCCAGCGAAGCCCACCAGGGTCCTGGTCCCCAGCCCTAGACACTGGGGTCAGAAGTGGGACACCCCCTGGCCTCAGCACGAACCCCACATGGCGGCCACGTGAGCACAAGACATGCCCGTATCACGGGACGGAGACATTGCCCACTCCTGGGGACCATCAGCTGCTGCCACTGGCCACTGGGCTGCCATACTCGGCCTGGACTCTGAGGCAGGGTCGCTCACCCCATCCACCCCACCAGCTGCCCAAGCCTCCCCAAGGCCATCCAGGTAAGTGACTCTGGGGTCAAGAGCTGCTGCTGGGTTCACAGCCTGGTCCTCCCTGCCTCAGTTTCCCCGCATCCTAGGACAGGACTCAGTATGACCACCTTAAGGGTGCCGTGGGAACACGGGGGCACAGGGGGCAGGTACTTGGGGGCCACACCATCCTGGAGCAACAGGTGGGGGTCAGGGGCTGCCACTCAGAGGGGCAAGAGGCAGGCATGCAGCGCGAGCCGGGCCCACGCAGCGTGGCCTCAGCAAATGTGCAGGAGGGCAAGGACCCAGGCAGGGAAGGGCAGTGTTGGCAAGACCCCGCGTCTCCCCTCAGGCCTGGGTCACCCCAGGGCCCCTGCAGGCAGGATCCGCCAGCTGCGCATGCCTAGCACCGAGGTGAGCGCTGCCCCTGGCGGTGAGACCCAGGCGGGAGGCCTCGGGGGCTCCTTGCAATATGCAGGACTGTCCACAGGACAGCTCACCCGTCCCCTGGACCACAGCCTGACCACAGGGAGGCCCATGCCTTGCGGGGACCATACCTCATGGCCACATCACCCTGCACAAGGCCCCAGGCGTTGGAACTGACACCTTAGCTCCTGTTTGCCAAGAGGGCCGGGGGTGGTCAGCAGCCTGAGCACCAGGGCCCGGAGGGAGGGTGTCCTGGTGCAAGTACGCCCCAAGGGGTTGCAGATGGAGTGGACACCAAGAAGCGTCAACACAGGGTGCCCCCTTCCCCACCACTCAGCATGGCCTGGGGCCAGGGGCCTCCTGTCCTAAACCAAAGGCCAAGTCAGCAGTAAGATACACAACTGGCTGCTTTGGAAGAACACAGGATGCAGAAAACCCCATGTATAGTGAGGGCTGCAGGAGCTGCAGTGCACGGAACCCTGCACCCCACCCCACAAGGGTATGGATGGATGTGGTGGGGCTCACCACCCTCTCCCGCCAGCAGCACCGGGAATGAGGCACAAAGGTGGCCTCAGTGAGGGCAGGGGTCACACCCTGGCCCCTGGCCAGCGAAGAAAGGGTGGCCACCGCTCACCTACTTCCCTAAGCACACAGCAGGTGCTGTAAGAATGAAAGTGCCCAGCACACACAGACTGCCAGCCTCACGCCATGTGTCCAGAGCAAAAGAATGCCACTCCCGCCTCACCCCATAGGCAAGGGGCCAGGGGCCAGCAGAGCAGAGCCTGTCTGGGGGCCCAGTGGGGCAGGGGCTCCGGTGTAGGCACAGGGTTTTAGCTGGCACGGCCATGCCTGCCAAGTCCTGACCTTTAACCAGATGCTTTCAGACACATCGTACAGCACTTTATAGGGTTAAATGAAACGGCCAAGTTGTTCATAGGCAGGAATTGGTCCTCAAATTATGGTTCAGTTCACAGCAAAAGTCTGTGATCCTATTTAAAAACAGGGCTACAGCCGACAGGAAGTGACGTCCATGGTGTACTAGAACAGCAGGTGGTACATCCCATGTGGCGGGGTTGCAGCCCCTGGGGTCCCCCAGAGCAGAGCGGTGCTGGGGCCTGGCAAGGCCAGCTACCTACAGGGTCAGGTAGGAGAAGCCCAGTGTGGCGCCTGTGAGGCCCAGAAGGTCCTTCGGAGCTGAGGGCGATGTCTCAGAGGGCCTGCACTGTGCCAGCCAACAGCCTGGAACCACCAGGACCTGGAGGGGCCCCTGGGGTCAGGCCCTCACAACGCTATCTACTGGCTTTGCTTGGACAGCAGCGGAGTTCTGGGGACCAGATCCTGCAGGACCACAGGCGTCCAACCAGTAACCCCATCAGCCTAGAGCACAGCCCCGTGAGGTGCAACCTGGGGCCCAATGTGAGCACTGCCCTCGGAGGCCTTTCGGACCTGTCAGGCCCCCGGTCATGGACTTGGGCAAACCAGCCCTCAGGGTGACCGGGCCACGGAGAAGCACAGCGCACAGGCCTGAATTCAGCTGGCGAGCTCACAGACGGGTCCCGAAATGAAGGGCCTGATCTGCCACCCTAAATTCAAAATGGATGGAAAACTCGTAATGACATCGCCCAGGTCAGCAACCCCTTGGTGATTCGGAGCCCTGCCCTGTCCCATCTGGTCGGGGGTAGCAATGCTGTCCCCAAAGCCACCAGCAGGGAGCACAGGGGCCCGGGAATGGGGCCTACCGCTCCGCCTGCACTCCCATGTCCCCACCACCTCACCTACCTAGGAGGCCCGCCACTGGGCCTCTGCCAGGTATCACACTGCCATGACGTTCAGTCAGGGGCCACCAGAGCAGGGGCATGAGGGACACGCCCAGCAGACCTCCACCCCGTCCACCCAGCCTGCCCTGGCCCTCCCAGCCCCACGCAGGCCAGCCACCTCCTGCCGCACTGCTGGGCTCTGTGTACCAACCTAACCCCACGCCAGAGGGATCTCAAGTGAGAATGAGGAAGAGGCTCCCCAAAACTGGGTTTTCTCAGGCCACCAGGGTGCCCCAGGACCCCTGGTGAGTGTGACACAGCAGGGTCACCTGCTCACAGGTCCTGGTGGTGACCCTGTCACTGTTGGGCCAACAGAACCCCCAAAAGATGGAAGGGTCACCAGCCCCTGGTGTTCAGGCAGGGGTGTCCACCAATCTGCCCCCATGGTACCTTGAGGATGTGGCAGGGAGCTGGCCAGACACCCAGGACCACCACAACCCGGCTCCTCTCACCCCGACTCAGTCGACTGGGCCCTGCCCAGCCCCACACCCACTGGTTCAGGCCTCCCTGACTCCTCCCAGCCCCTGGCAGCCCAGCAGCACCCGTCTTCTCCTGCATTCAACTCAGCTTGTGGGGCACGCCTTGCTGTGTAGCCTTTGAGACCCCACGTTCCACACACTTAGCAGAGGAAAAGCAGAACAAGGCTGAAGTGGTGGAACAGAAACAACTCGGGTGTCTCAGTGGTAAGTCAAGTGACCGCAAAGACAGTATCAGATGGCAAATGCCGGGACAAAACCTCTCAAGTGATGCTAAGCTCACCTCAGGGGGGTGGATGCACAGACCGCCCAGGCAGATGGCCCGCCATAAGCTAGCGCCATCCTGGCGGCCATGTGTGGGGACACGGCTCCGGCTCGCAGCTTCCTTTGTGGGTGCTTTTGAGGACATACGGTGCAAACCCAAGTAGAGGAGCCAAGCGGGGGCTGGGACTGGTATGGGGAAGGCTACCATGGGTGGAGCTCTTTATCCACATGCACGTGTGGGCAGGAACTGGGACCACACACACGCATTTCCCTGCTCTCTGCTGAGGTTGTCTGGCAGCAGTAGAAACACGTGGGTCAGCAGACACGAACCACTCTAAGACTCTGGGCTCCACAGAGCAGTGGCGATTCCAGGCTGGGGCAGGGGACACACCCAGGACAGAGCGGTCAATGCACAGGACTCCACAGCCGCCTGGAGACGGTCTGAGCATCACAGTCAACGGTCACAGTGAAGACCCAGCTCACACATGTGACCACAGGACAGGCGGCAGGCTGCTTCCTCCAGAGTGCCAGCTCACCCTGGGGGCCAGCATGTGGACTAGCAGGTGGAGGACAGGAGTGGACCCAGCCACGCACAGTACCCTGGGGCACTCAGCCCAGAGCAGGCAAGGACATTGAGCAAGGGTCAAGGTCGGCATCTGGGCTGAGAAACCCTGAAGGTGGGCTCCTGAGGTCCCCGCAAGGCAGCTGCGTACGATGGTGGGGCCATGACAGACAGGCCGCAGGCTGCTCCAGGCGGAAGGGACCATGGAGGGCTGGGGGCCGCCCAGTGTCTGCAAAGGACCTGCTGGGCTGGACCTCAGGTCAGTGATGATCCCTGGTTTGGGGTCCACCACAGGAAAATGCTTGTAAGAAATACACAACCACCCTCAAAAGTTCAGGAGAAACCGACAGACAGAGGCGGAGGGAGACAAATACGTGGCAAATGTCATTTATGCAGCACAAGAACACAGGAATCCTTTATTCTTTGGATCTACCACAACTTTTCCAAAGTCTAAAGCTGTGTCAAAATTAAGTCTAAAAACAAATACACTCCAAAAAAAGGAATTTCTGAAACCCTCTGCTTAAACATGGGGTCCTTGCATTTTGAGGGGATTCCTGCTCAGAGTCTTTTCTCTGGAAGCAAAGCTCCATGCTGACCCACACCAGAGGCTCCCAACTGTGCTCACGGAGGAAGGGCCGCAGCTCTCCAGGCCAGGCCAGAGGACACGCAGGCCCGGCAGGGAGGGAGGGAGGGGACCTGACCAGGTTTCAGGTTCCAGCCCTGTGCACATGACCTTGGGCAAAGTCACAGCTACTGGGCCTCATGTTCCCTGTCCCGGGGAGAAGTAGCCGCTGTGCTGCTCAGCTCTGGCCTCACCAGCTTCCTGTCCCCAGAGGTGCACCCAGGCCACAGAGCCCAGCTCAGCTTGGAAAGCACAGCCTGGGTGCCGCGGGCTCCCACAGCGGGCGGCACAGAGACTTGTCTGCAGGTCTGAGACTTCTGCCAGCCACAGGGACAGCCATGCACCAGCACTGGGTGTCCATAACCTAAGGACATGCACGTCCCTCCCGGGG